TTTTTTTTTTTTATTTATTTTTTTTTTTTTCGTAGATACAGTTTAATAGTGTAGATTCTGTGAAGGACTTTTAAAATATATCTCTTTGACCTTGTTAAGAGATAGCGACTGGGCAGAGGCCAGACTTTTTTCCAATCAACATCACTCACAAATTGATTCCAATATGCAACATTTGGTTTCGAAGCAGCATCCTCCTGGAAAAGGGCTCTTACTGATCTGTTATAATTACTACAACGATAGGAAAAACATATTTAACCAATAGGGGAGTGTGAGAGTTGTGGGAATTGCTGATAATTTAATCTGTTTTTGCTGTTTAAACAACGTAGCTATTTTAGGAGTGACTGCGGTTGTGATTTCCTTTGGCGGTATTGGAAAATTTTATTTAGCTAAGAATTCCTCATATGTAAAAAGAAGACCATCTGAATTAAATAACTGGTCTACCAAAACGATGCTATTTCAAAACCAGTTTTCGAAGAGGTAGAACCTTTTAAAGCTGAAACTGTGGGTGATATAACATATCTGTGACCCTGGACCACAAAACCAGCTTAAGTCACACGAGTATGTTTGTAGCAAGCCAACAATTGCTGTTTGGTCAAAATTATCCATTTTTCTTTTATGCCATAAATCATTAGGAAACTAAGTAAAGATCAGGTTCCAGGAAGATATTCTGTAAATTTTCTACCGTAAATATATTAAAACTTAATTTTTGATTAGTTGCTGTTTAAACAACATAGCTATTTTAGGAGTGACTGCGGCAAAAAACTGTTGTGACTTCCTTTGGCGGTATGGGAAAATTTTATTTAGCTAAGAATTCCTCATATGTAAAAAGAAGACCATCTGAATTAAATAACTGGTCTACCAAAACGATGCTATTTCAAAACCAGTTTTCGAAGAGGTAGAACCTTTTAAAGCTGAAACTGTGGGTGATATAACATATCTGTGACCCTGGACCACAAAACCAGCTTAAGTCACACGAGTATGTTTGTAGCAAGCCAACAATTGCTGTTTGGTCAAAATTATCCATTTTTCTTTTATGCCATAAATCATTAGGAAACTAAGTAAAGATCAGGTTCCAGGAAGATATTCTGTAAATTTTCTACCGTAAATATATTAAAACTTAATTTTTGATTAGTACTATGCATTGCTAAAGACTTAATTTGGACAAATTTAAAGGCGATTTTCTTAATATTTTTATTTTTTTTGTTGTTGTTGTTGTTGCACCCTCAGATTCCAGATTTTCAAATAGTTGCATTCCGGCCAAATAGTGTCCTATCCTAACAAACCCTACATCAATGGAAAGCTTATTTATTCAGATAAATCTCAATAAAAAAAAAAGACCCTTGTGACTGGTTTTGTGGTTCAGGGTCACATATTAGAAACGTAAACAACAGGACATTTTACAGAAGAAGAAAAACATTAGGGACTCAACTGGAAAGACAGCAACAAACTGGATCACATTGTCACCGACTGACTACTCATACATTTACAAACCTAATGAGTTAAGGTAACTGAAAACAGCGCGGTATTTAAACAAACATTGACTTAAAGTTCAGAAAAGAAGACGTCAAATACAGCGCGGAGACTTCTGGAAACTGTTTTGAGCGCTGACGACTCCAATGAATCGAATCATTTATGCGAACCGACTCGCTGAATGAATCGAACGATCCAGCGCTAGTCCCGCAGCCTGCAGGGGAGGCAGCGTGGCGCATGCGCAGTGCGGCGGTGGGGATTTCCAGCGGAACATGAAGGTAAGAGGCGCTGGATGATGGGGAGGGGGCGGCTCGGTAATGCTGCTGCCCAGCACTGCATGACACTCAACGGACATGTGCAAAAACAAAAGTGTTGCCTTTATAATTTTGTTCAGTGTATGTGTACATTATTGGCAGGTCCAATAGGAAATCTGTGCTTGCAGAGTTTTGCGAAACGTTCCTGTCATTCACAGAAATGACAATTCATGAATTGTTCCCTCTTCCTTACCTGTTTGTTTATTAAATATTTTGGCTAATTTGCTTGTGATTTCAGTCAAGGACGTCTATGTATAATACCTGGAGAAAGCTATTCGTTAGCATTGCCATTCATCTCAATGAGTGCAGAACCCCCTGGAAGTACTGTTGTACACGGCCAGCTTGCTGCCATCTTTGCTCATGGGGTTTTGGCACAGACAGTTTTGAGTCGATCACCTGTGCAGCAAATACTGATTGTCTGACAGAAGAACCAAATCCCAAGTGCTTCACTGCTGGCTGTCCCGCTGGGTCCGTTAACTCAAACGTGCATGGCAGAAGACAGCTCAAAAGTTTAGTCCATTTTGCTTTTTTTTTTTTTGTAATTGTCATAATAAAGACATGTCATCTTTATTATAGCTATTGAAATGTTTGCAGTGTATATGTTGCTTGAACACCCCCCCCCCCAAAAAAAAAACAACCTTTTGTTGGAATACATGGTTGTATTTAAATGGTTGTCAACAGAGAAAGATGTACCCAAAATGTTGTCATTATGTCATCTACCCGCAGGATGTAACTTTTAAAAGTTTTATTTCTCTCAGTTTAACCCATAAAAAAAAAATATATATATAAATAAATAAAAATCCATTCCACAGAATTACACTCATTTCCATTAAAAAAAAATGCTCATAAAGCTCATAAAATGTAAAACAGATTTAATTTAGGCCCAACTATGATTTAAACTACATCACACATAGGCAGTGTATTTTTCATTCTCATGGCCTGCTTTGGTCTTTCTGTGATGCGTGCCTGCATTATGAACTAGCTAGGCCTATGTGATTGCAGGCAAAGAGAGTGAGGCAAGCCTAATGTATTAGACTTGTCTTTATCAAACAGATGTTGTTCTTCTGTCGTTGCAGCATTGGACATGGTGTTTTTAATGTGCGCTCCTCTCTGCAAACCCTGACCTTCAACCTACTGCGGGGGAAAGCTTGGCAGTAAGGGCTTAATAAGGTGAGGACTCTCCATCCAGCACCCAAATCCCAAAACCTTCTCATGTCCCGTTGAGGTGTTTTGGCTAATGAGGAACCCAGAGATGCCCATTACAGCATGAAAGAGCCCCGGGGAAGGCGTACGCCCGAATTAAACCAAGCACATCTTCACTTTCATTATTGCATATCGCTCTTTTGGAGGATGATCGCAGCTTGCTGATTTTCCCCACCACACTGCACCGTTGTCCCAGGTCTTCCGGTGTCTAGTGGAAGAGAGGACTTGAGATGGCAAGAGGTCCCGTTTAAAGAAACTCCTGGATTGTAGGATAAGAGGTTGCATGCTACGCAGCCCACTGCCACCAATGGATGCCAAGTTGCGAGAAGATCTATTCCGCAGGTATGTGGCGTCTTTGGAGAATCGGCTTGAGGAGGGAGCCGGTGAAGGAGGAGGAGGAGCCAAGACCGAGGAGGCACTGATTTCTACTGCAACAGCACTGCTTGGCTCATACCAGCCCGATCCAGGGCAGCGCTTTCGCATGGTTCGATTCTATGAAATGGCTGAGAACTCCCTGAGGACTCAGAGAAGCGCAAACTTGCGGACATTGGAGACGGCCTTTGCGACGCTGGAAACCATCTGTTCCAACTTGCTGCTCTTTCCTTGGAAGAAAGAGTTCCGTTGCATAAAGGTGAGTCAACGGATTAAAGGATTCATTGTTGTTTTTTTTCCATGGAGCACAAAGGGACTGACGTTTCAGTAAGGCTTGACGATTCATCGAACCGTAAACAAATGTAATTTTCCCATGTCGGTTATATAGTTTTTTAAAATTCTATTAATACTTTTCCCTTAAAAAGATACTTACCGCGTGTAGTTGTGCTCGCATCTTTTGCAGCGTCTCGCAAAATAATTTAAACCTTTACACACAGTGCCGCTCATCAATGTCGGTTCCAAAACAGTGGACCAATCAGAAGACCCTGGAGGCGGGGCAAGCGTTGCAAGCTTTTGTTTACAGTAGCAGGTTGGCATGGCAAGTTTTGTATTTGAGGGCAACATGGCGGAGTAGGCATTCTGCCCTGCACTTTATTTAAAAAAAAATTAAATAAATTTTTACGTGCTGCGTTTCACAGTTTTAGATGCAAAGATGTGTTCTGTGTGAATGGCCAGTAAGAACCTAGAGTAAATACTTGTGCTTATAGCGTGACGCCACAAGATCACTGAGATGGTGCCCTGCTCTTTCTCTTAATCAGCAGTGTTATATTTACATTCATTATTTAAAACATTTGTTTACAGGAGATGCAAGTTATTATTTTCTACGTTTCACAAGGCATTATTTAAAATAATATTAATTTACAAGAGATACAAGTTATTTTCTGCTTTTCACATGACAATATTTAAAAAGTAGGCTATTTTGTTTGCTGGTTGTTTTCTCATTTTGACATGGCAATATTCCTTTATTTTGTTTGCAAAAATGAATCTATTTTTTAGGAAACTTTCTTTTTACAATTAAACTGAAATTTTTTTTTTCATTAGACATCTTTATTTCAAGCAAGCTCTGATTTTAATCGTAAATAACCACAAATAGTTTGTTTCCTTCAATTATTTTAAAATCACAAAGATAAGAAATGCACTCTTGTCATTAGAAAAAAAAAATATAAAAATATCCCACCTTTAATATTTGAGTATATTTATGGTACAAACCTTTAATTTAAACTTGAACTATTAGGGCAAGAAAGAAAGAAAGAAAGAAAGGAAATTAAAGCAATAAGCCCCAAGAAGCCGTGGTTTACAGTGAATTGATACAACCCCCTTGGCTGTTATAAATTCACTGTAAACCACTGCTTCACGGGGCTTATTGCTTTTATAAAACGGTTATTCCATATACGTAGTAAGGTTTCACAAAATAAAACAGAGCAAATAAAGTGTAATGATATTAATAAAAACATTATTCTTCCACCAAACAATGTAGTTCCTCAGAAACAGTTGTGGTTCCAACAAAGTGGTTGCCGAGCAACACACAGAAGTAAACAAAGGTGTATGTTTGTAGAGTAATTTACAACAGCTTTGAACTTGACTCAACCAATCAGAATCAAGGACTGGAACTATCCGTTTTATAAAAATAAATAAATAGTAATTGAGGTAAAGTGTTCAATTAATCGATTTTAGGTCATATCGCCCAGCCCTACGTTTCAGTGAGAAGTCTGTAGTTTCAGCGAGACTGCACTGCATTCTGGGGTTAATTATTCAGCCTTCTATTAAAACCTTTCTAGTTCATGAATGTGAAAAAATGAATTTAATCTTTGCTTTTGAGAGTGTAATGACTGTTCTTTCACTCTTACAGACCTTCACGGGGCCGTATGTGTACCAACTGCAGTCGGTGATATGCGACGCAGACTTGCGTTCGCTGCTGCGTACCATGGGCTATTCAAGAGACCAGGAATTGCAGTACCACGTTAGGGACCATCCTGGTGGAGCCTCCCACCTCCGGCAGCTCGCCTTCGAACTGCTCCTCGCCCAGGCTGAATGCCGTCTGCTCGGCGAGGTGGTGTCCATGTCTCGGGGCTTTGCCTCGGAGCTGGAGGCCATGGAGGTGAGGAGGAACACCAGAGAAGATGCGGCAGGGTGCGCCGACGCCCTCCGCCGACGAGACAGCCTTACAGGAGACTTGTCCCGCCTGTCGGTGCGGCCGGTGGATATTGACCGCGCCCACCTAAGGCGAAGCGGTCGGCCGTCCAAGTCGGTGGATGTAACAGACAGCGCAGGACACTGGCACCAAGCCAGCAAGCCAGTGCTGAAGGCCTCGCTCAGCCTGCGCAAAGAGCCACTGTTCGTCGACACGGAAGAAGACTTGAAGGATGAAATCATCCGACCGAGCCCTTCTCTTTACCCTGTGGCAGCGCCGCCCTCTTACAGCCCAGTGGCTGACTTCTTCCCGATTCAGTCGCCCCTGTCTGAGCCATACTCCTACCACTTGTCCTCCCTGGATGAGGTGGACTTGTAGACTTCTAGTTGCTGTTAAGTCACTATATTGAGTCCTCTGACAAGAAATGCCTTGTGGGTTTAACCCCTAAGAAGTCAGCCTACGCTGTTCAAAATGCTGCTGTTGAAAGTAAAACCAGGAGGGGGCGCTCCTGGCCTCTAACATGCTTTGCAAGCACCATGAAACTTCATGCACATACTGTTGATTATGTCAGTATATTTATATAATTTTTCCTCTGTCCAGTTTTCCTTTACATTGTTTTAACCTGTTAAGATGTTAAGTCATTGAAATGGAGAATAATTTAATATTTTGCTACGCTGACTGTCATGAGAAACAATTATTATTATTATTATTTTGTTAATTAATTGTGCAATGCATTTATGGTGGCGTGTTTGCATACAGTGATAAACTAAAGTGTTACTACTGGGTGAGTGTCACAGAGGATTTTATGGGTCATATTTCACCCTACAATCCAAAGAAGATGTGATATTTTACAAAGAGAAAACTAGATTCTCATTACTGCAGATACAGTGTTGAAACTCATACTTTATGATCCAGAATGTTTTTATGTAATATAAAATTAAAATGAGGATAAACTAAATCCAGTACAACAAATACTACTACAATGTATTATTACAGTAGTATTTATAAATGTTCTATTCACACACGTGTTATGATAATTCGAACCTGTAAAAATTAATTTCCTCTATGCAAAATATTTTTCTTGCTGTTTTTATTATTAGTTTTTTATTATGGTGTAAAATATGACTTTGACATGTTTTTGTGACATTCACCCTAATTAGCCTGATTTGTATTCTTCCCTGAAGATAACACTAATTATATATATGTTGCCTTTTTTTCTGCAACTACTAATATATATATATTTTTTTTTTTTTTTTTTGTGTCTGTTCCAACAGAACAAAGGCAGTATATCAGTCTGTCTACATCTCCTTAATTTCAGAGACCTTTCAACCTGCTCTCCCTGCTGCCTTGGGTAACCTTTCCAGTCACCCGAAGGCTGCACTCAATGCAGGACTCGATGCTTAATGTCTGAACGCAGCATAAAGCGAGGGCCAAAAAATCTGTCAGGGAAACAGAAACTAGCACAAGACATAAAGATGGCATGTTCTTACGAAGTAACGTCAGTATGTGTTTTTGATTTAGTGGAACGAGTGTTAATAGTACTAAACAGCAGCCAGGAATAATCTGATTGGATTTTACACTCATGTGACAGCATGGTTAACCAATCAAACTGTAATGTGCCAAACACCCCCAGGCTGTGAAGACAGAACCTGCTCATCTCTGCGTGGTAACTGAGCCATTTGAAAGTGTTTTAACCCAGAGTGATGGATAGCCTGTGTGTGACTAAGCCACTTTCTCTCTCACGCCCATCAGTTCTCATCATACCCTGTTTAATGGGTTTGTGTGGTGATTTCACTAGAGATGAACTGATGAGTGTGTTGACCCTCCATACACTGCTCCTGGTTTCCCCGGTCCATGAAGCAGCATTCACTTCTGCAGGGGTCAGATCTCTGTCTGGCAAACAAGTTTTATCTTCAGCGGAGACGTGGGGGGGGGGCGAAGGGGCTGGTGGAACGGGGTAAGGAGTTAGCCAAAAAGTGTGTCAGCAAAAGTATAATCCTATAATTATATAAATTAATTAAAAGCGATGATTTTATAAAATAATTTCAAAAATAAAGTTCTACAAAAAAAAGCGCTGCCTTTGGTGTTTGTGTTTTGGATAAAACATGAGCTAACAACTCACTGAATCACCACAACTCTTACAGGAGAGAGAGAGAGAGAGAGAGAGAGAGGGAGAAATGTTAAACACAGCAGTTTATGAGTGAAACATATCTACTGGTTAAGCATAATCACACTTTAAACCACTTTGGGGAAGGATGTTTTCTCTGGTGAATTTTACAGACTGCATGTAGCACTACACTTCAAGTGACATGCCTTTTAGGTTTCTACAGTGATGCACATACAAAAGTTCAAGATTGATTTATCAGATATCCATGTGAATATTCAGTCACTAAGGGCAATTTTTAAGAGATGTTATGCTCTGCAACCTGTATGAATATCTAAAATATATTTCATGTAAAATATATATCCTCCTGACTACCAGCTATGGAGTTTTGTCCACTGTAGAGGACATTATGTTTTAGCGATTTCTCTGAGACGTTACATGTCACAGTTTTAAGTATGGATGTCCTGTACGGAGCACATTCAGGGCTTTCCAGCGATACTAAATGATTGGATGTTTCATCATGACCACTCCCTCTCTTTGGTCTTTAAAAATGGCTGACATTCATTTAGTGATCAAGTGTAACACCCTTATGGAAATATGATAATATTTTGTAATTATCATTTAAATCTGACATTTTATAGCGAATATAAGAAGATAGGAAATATTTTTTTAATGCTATATTGATACTAAAATGTATATTTTTTTAGTCGATAATCCCACTGTATTTCTTACATGTTTCTTAAAAATGTGTACAGTATAAAGAAAAACATGACTGATGTGTCCAAATCAATGTTAGGTTTTCCTTGATTTTCATATCCATGTATTCATTTATGAATTTTTATTTATTGATTCTTTTTTTTTTGTTTTGTGTTTATGCTTATATTAATCCTCATCGTGTATTCATATTCAAATATTTAATACTCATTTAAGTTTACCTTTTATTTTGTTTGATTCATATTCAAGATGGAATATTTGTATTCTCCAAGAATATGTTCAACTACTGACTGAGTAATAACGTTTCTCAGAATTAGTCTTTAACAGTACTAGATGTTCCTTTTCAGAAACTGTGTTTTTAGGGAGTTGGTTTGTTAACTAAAGGTTCGGGAGCAAGGCCGAGGCCATCACCTAACTCCCTGAAACCTTCATATACAGTGGGGGAAATATTTATTTGACCCCCTGCTGATTTTGTAAGTTTGCCCACTTACAAAGCAATGAAGGGTCTGTAATTTTTATAGATGGATAGAGACACAATATCAACCAAAAAATTCAGAAAAAACACATTATATAAAGGTTAGAAATTGATTTGCATTTCAGTGAGTGAAATAAGTATTTGATCCCCAAGCAAAACATGACTTAGTACTTGGTGCAGAAACCCT